CCCGGTAATAAGACCTTCCAAATTGGCTGAGAGAGTACAGTACCACTATAAGCCATGTGAGGGCAGAAGTGGATAATGTTTAAAGTTTTTTGCCTCCCTTTTTTTCAGATTGCCTGTTGATTACCAGAGTACACCTATGAAAAAACAGGTGTCCCCATATGGTTTAGTTTAAGTGCAGACCTTTTTCTTCCTAAAAATTTTTCTCATTAGATTCTGGTACATTGTAGTTGGTGAGCACTTCAGCCCCTCACCCCCTGCCAATTTCCTGATTGCATGTGATATTTCTAGGATTTTCATAATTAAGTTTGTCATTCTCCTACAGAAAGGTCACATATTTCTATCTGTTCCATACCCAGGAAGCTTGAATTTTATTTTATTTTATTTTTTTAAAGATTTTATTTATTTATTTGACAGAGAGAGACACAGCGAAAGAGGGAACACAAGCAGGGGGAGTGGAAGAGGGAGAAGCAGGTTCCCCACCGAGCAGGGAGCCCGATGTGGGGCTCGATCCCAGGACCCTGGGATCATGACTTGAGCCAAAGGCAGACACTTAATGACTGAGCCACCCAGGCACCCCAGGAAGCTTGAATTTTAATTATGTTTTGTTATCTGACTTAAAATTAATGAAGAATAATTTTTTTTCTGTAGCAATGTAGTCCCGAGATTTCTTAGTTTGATTCCATTGTAATTATGGTAACAGGTACTAGAATGCTGTTACCTAGGGCTTATAATTGAATTTTGAGACCCTTCTGTCTTGGAATGAGCACTAAGCTAAACCCTGTTGGAGAGGGAAAATTTTACTTTTACCCTTCAAGGTTCTTCTGGCTGGTCTAAGAATCAAACTAACATGAAAGAGATTAATAGGAGAAAATCCAACAAAGGTTTAATTACATATGTACAGAAAGTCCGTATAAACATGAGAGATTCCAAAGCAGCCAGGCAAAATGAGGCTTATATGATATCCTGAACCAAGGAGAGGGGTAGAGTCCTAGAGGATACAAAGGGGAGGAAGGCCATTTGCAGAGAGGCAGAGGAGATGTTTGGGAAACGAAGACTTCCCTGTTATGCAGCTAAGTTCCTTAGGTAAAGAGGAGCCTCTGGCCATGGCTCTCTTCCTGGTACGGGATTCCCCACTTTCCAGTGTAAATGTAGGCAGCTGAATCTGCTGGGTTTTGATTGCTTTTAACTCAAAATAATCTTCATGGCAAAGTGGCATATTTCTGTGAGACCTGTCCTGAACCCCTTCAACTCCAGTGCCATGTACAGGGAGCTGGGCTTGTGCCAGCGATAGGGTGGGGAGCAGGGCAGGCATGTTCCTACTCTCATGGGGCTTATCGCTTCTTGGGGTGAGACGCAGGAAATGAGAACACACAGGAAATAATGGCACCTGGTGCTGAGTTAGTAGGAAGGGCACAGACACAGGGCTGTGATAGGGAGCGGTCGGAGGGAGGCTGCTTTAGGGGGGTGGTCAAGGTCTGGCTTTCTGAGAAAGACCTAGCTTTTCAGGCTGAAGGATAAGGAGGAGATAGATATACGTAAAGAAGGAGGGTAGGAGGGCTTAAGGGGTAGGAAAGAAGAGAGCGGCCCATCTGAGGACCTGCAAAGCCAGTGGGGCTGAAGTACAGGGAGTGTGTGTGGGGAGTAGGGGGGGAAGTGTGTGGCGAGCAGGGGCATGAGATGACATTAGAAACGTATGCAAGGGGGGTGCCTGGGTGGCTCAGTTGGTTAAGCAACTGCCTTCGGCTCAGGTCATGATCCTGGAGTCCCGGGATCGAGTCCCGCATCGGGCTCCCTG